AGCGACATTCAGACGGGCCAGCTACTGCTTCGAGGAAGAAGCTACCCTTTCCAGAACTGTACTAACAAAATCAGCATTAGGCCATCTGCCCAGCCATTCAGTAGGCAACAGAGACTATAGTCACAAAAGAACAAGTGTAAAATTAGAATTTGAGTCACAAATAGCTTTGTCTGTGTCTCATAAAATATTGCAAGTCAATTTTAAGCAACATGCCTGCATTTTGCAACATTTTTCACCATATATCGAAGTCATAAACCCTGTTCTATATTGCGTGAGGAGACACACTGATGTGCCCTATGATAGCGGAGGAATGAATGTGAGCAAGGTTTCATGAGCGTGGAAACTAGGTTTTCATATATCCATTGTCAGAGAAATCAGATCACAAAGTAGTATACATAATGTTAGTATCTTTACAACAAAAACTTATATACATATCAAATTATATGTATATACATGGGTATATATATGATTTTAAGAGAAAATTAGTTGTAAGAATATAGGGCGAGGCATGGGTAATAGTTATCTCTAGATGGCAAGATGGGAGATAATTTTCTTAACTTTATCATTTCAATCTTCAAGCAGAAAGAGGTATCATCTGATGTGTTATTTTGTGTTGGTTGGATAGTTTGTAAGAGGACAATGTGCTTATAATGCTAATAAATTGGCATAAATAATATACTGCCTGGTACTTTAGTATGGTCTTGTTTGTGATCATTTGAGTAAATGCCCCAAAGTGGGATTGCTGGGTCATAGGGGAGCTCTATGTAGAGTCTTTTGAGGAACCTCCATACTACTTTCCAAAGTGGCTGAACAAGTTTACACTCCCACTAACAATGTAGTAAGGTTCCCTTCTGTCCACATCCCTTCCAGCATCAGTTGTTATTAGAGTTCTTGATTATAGCCATTCTAACTGGGGTGAGGTGGTATCTCAATGTTGTTTTGATTGGCATTCCTTTTATGGCTAGAGAGGTTGAGCATTTCTTCATGTGTCTATTGGCCATCCTTCTTTCCTCTTCAGAGAATTTTCTCTTTAAGTCTTTAGCCCACTTATTTATCGGGCAGTTGTTTCTTTGAGGATTAGTTATTGCAGCATTATTTACCATAGCTAAGATATGGAACCAACCCAGATGCTCCTCAGTAGATGAATGGATTAAGGAAATGTGGTATATCTACACAATGGAATTCTATGCCTCCATCAGAAAGAATGACATTGCCCCATTTGTTAGGAAATGGAAAGGCTTGGAAAAAATTATATTAAGTGAAGTAAGCCCATGGTTTCCCATATTTGCAATAACTAGTATATGTCTGAGTCAAACAGAAACTGTTAGACAAGTTGATGTTAGGTGAAATGAACCCCAAGATAAGGATTCAAATGTTTTTTTTCTTTCTTGCGATTGTTTCCAACATATTTATAAGATGATTTCTGTGTTGCTTTGTATGTCCCTCCCCCACAGTACAAACCCTGTTTTCACTGTATTTGATGTTGATATAATTTGTGGAGGGAAAGGGAAAAAAAAACAAATCGTTTAAATACGGTTACAGGTGGGCCCATTGCAACAATGATATGTACAAGACGTTATGTCAAAAAGCGAACTTTACAACTTTGGCGGGGTGGGGGGTGTGGGGTGTGGGGAGGTGGTGATAGGGGGGGGGGGGGAGGGGGGGGGGGGAGAAAGGAAGGGATGGGAAGGGGAAACAAAGGAGGAGGCAACAATGCTTGATAAGAAATGTACTCATTATCTTGCCCATGTAATTGTAACCCCTCTGTATGGTATTTTCACACACACAAAAAAACCCACTGAGAACTAGAGATAAATATTATCACAAAGAATAATAGACATTATATCCATTAAAAATGTTCCCAGTCAATAATAATAATAATATACTGCCTGATTTACATTTAGATCCCAATTCTAATAAAACATATATTGTTGCATTCACAAAAATGAGTATCACCAATAATTCAGGTTGACTGCTCTTTTTTGTTATTTTCTGGTCCTGGGTCTTGAACTCTGGCTGGGCTCTGTCCCTGAGCCTCTTTATGTTCAAGACTAGTGCTCTGACAGCCTTTTCTGAGTAGTTTATTAGAGATAAGAGTTTCATGGACTTTTCTGCCTGGGCTGGCTCTGAACCACGATCCTCAGATCTCAGCCTCCTGCGTAGCTAGGATTCCAGGAGTGAGCCACCAGCACTCACCCTGACTGCTCTTTTGTATAGCTCTGTAAGTATCATTCCTGCTTTCTTGAATCAGAAGATTTTTTTTCAAAGAAATCAGTTTAATTGCCCAAACATTAAATCTGTTAAATATTGACACCACACATTACCAAAACCACCCAGTTAAAGGACTTTTGAGAGTTGGAATAATCACTGAGAAAAGATTTACGTGAGTAATTAGATGAACCACTAGTTTTTCAGACTGGATGCCAGTCTCCTTTTTCTCTGTCTAGAAGCTAATGAATGGGACATGGGAAGGAAATAATAACTGGAATTACACCTGTGTAAGACTCTCTATGTGGCCATTTCAACACAAGTTCAACTTGTTTTTGCTGTACTTGCAGATTCAGAGTTCTGTATTTCCATGTCATTTTTCCTTGAAGTCTTCCTGCTTGGGTCCGTGTTATTTGAGAATATGATCTAACTTATCTGTATGAAATATCCGCTTCATAAAATGCCGGGAGTTCCTCTGCCTTGCCAACTGAAAATCTTTTCCTGTCATTTCTGTGGCTGGGTTACGAAAGCATTCTTGCCCAAGTTTAGCCAAAGCTCCTGATGGAAATCTCTTAGGGAGTGAGAAAAGTACCAGAGATGGGTGAACTTATTATGAAAATGGGATGACTGAGCTATCTACTACGGCCAAGGGTGCCGGTGAACGTGAAGGTTTAAATGTTTGTTTCCTTCTCGTTGACGACTGGGGTGGGATAATGGTAGGGATGAGGCATTTCTGGCGGTGATTGGATTGTCAGGTGGAGCCCTCAGGAACAGATTAGGATTAACAGGATTCTGTTTTTCCAGGTGAGGACCAAGGGGGCTCTTCCCTGAGTAAGCCACAGCTCCTCTTTGCCCGGGATTCCCTAGCCTTCAAAACTATGACAAGGGGCTGGGGAGGTGGCTCAGTGGTAGAGCACTTGCCTTGCATGCATGAGGCCCTGGGTTCGATTCCTCAGCACCACATAAGCAAAAAGAAAAAAAGCTGAAGTGGCGCTGTGGCTCAAGTGGTAGAGCGCTAGCCTTGAGCTGAAGAGCTGAGCGACAGTGCCCAGGCCCAGAGTTCAAGCCCCATGACCAACAACAACAACAAAAAAAACCCATGACAAATGTTCTTTAGAAGCAATGCACTTTGTGGATAGTATTTCTGCTAGAGAAGCTAGGATGGAATAAAACAATTGAGCCCTATGTTGACAATATCAATATGGGGCTGGGAAGGTGGCTCAGTGGTAGAGCGCTAGCCTTGAGCTGAAGAGCTGAGGGACAGCACCCAGGCCCAGAGTTCAGGCCCCACGACCGGACTCCCCGCCCCCCCCCCCAAAAAAAGAGAATATCGATATGGTTCAAGTCTAAAACAAAACATTATTCAAACCTGCTCCTGAATCTGCGGTAGGCAGCTCGGCGGCCTCAGCCCGGGGTCCTGGCTGCCGCTCGAGGAGTCCTCAGGGCTTTCTGGCTGGAGCACGTTTCATGTTGCTGCCTTGTTAGTGACGCACTCGCCACAGAGTGGAGAGGCAGCCTTTCCAGTGTGAGGAAAATGAGCACAGCTAGCACCGACTGCCCTTCCCTTCGGAGTGTCATAGACAAAACTTAGATGTTAGCAGCCTCAGCCCAGGACTTCCTTTCCTGTCGACATAATTCGCCTTCCCACTGAAAGTAACAACTTGATAGTTTCTCCCCGACATGCCCCAATGGCTAGCATTAGTACGCTGCACTTGAAGGCGCTCGTGAAGAATGAATGGGATACCGAGCTACCCTGATATTGGCATGACGACCGAGATGGCTGCGGGTTGGGGAACAGGGCAGCTCAGGGCACTGGCCACAGACAACTCCCACCCCAGCGGGGCAGAGCAGGAAGACGCCAAGTGAGGATTCAATGCGCCGCGCACATGTGAAAACTTATAGTTGGTTCCCAGTCTACTAGATGTTTTTCAGACCACAGCTGACCTGACCTAGGGCAACTAAAACCAAAGAAAGTGAAATTGCCGACAGTGGGGCTGATACTGAAGTGAATGAATACCAAGTTCAAATGTTCCCTCAACAAATAATGATATTCACATGAGCACATCGCCACTATCGCCGACACGGTATTCGTGTAACGCACACTGGATCAGAGGCAAACTAAAACGCTGAAGTTGAGAAGTTTTAATGCAGGAAAAGTCCTTGACACTGGGAGATTACCAGGATAAGATACAGAACCATTTTCCTCATCCATGTCCGGGAAGCCATACAGTGTTTTTAGATTAAAATACAATTTTAAAAAAGACGCTGCCTTATTAAAAAAATATATATATCCCCACCCAGCGAGCATCACATCATGATCTTTGCACAGGGAGGCATGCTGGGAGGGTCCAGACTCACCATTAATACATGGGTTCACTTGCCAGTCAGACTGCTCCTGAGAGGGAGCTCCCTGCCACCGGAGGACAGTGACCAGTTGGGCTGCTCAGGAGCAACCTGTAAAGTGGGGCATCCGCCACACTCCCACAGTCACGTGAGATCCCTATGTTCTTTCCACGCCAGAGAAAAATCCCGTGTCTGGGTTCTTTCAGAAAGCAGCGATAGGATCAGCCGCTGGACGATAAGTCAGGAGAGACTTCGCTTAGGCCCGGGCTGAGGCTCTGGGTACCTGGAGCTCTCTACCCCGGCTGGCCGGGAGCCCACGCCCGTGTCCAGCGCGTGTGTGTGTCTGTGTATGTGTGGTGTGTGTGTGTGTGTGTGTGTGTGTGCACTGTCAGCCCCCCTCCCACCCGGGGCCCGTCCCCTCCTGGGGCGGATGAGTTACAGCGACAGACCTGAGGCCGTACAGGACCGTGCCGTCTGGGTGCAGGCGGATCATGCGGTTCTTCACCGTCACACCGTGGACGAACGACTTCTTGTCGTTCAGGAAGTAGGTGTCGGGCACCCACAGCTGGTCTGCCACTCTGTTGTCCAAGGTCAAGTTCAAGGGTATCACGTTGTAGGACAGCCGCTTGTCCCTCCAGGCTTGCTGGAAGTACATGGTCAAGGTGTAATCCTGTGGACGAGAGGAGAGGGACGGTTATTCACAGGGCAGGAGACTCGGGACACAGAATCACTCCAATAGTAGAGTGCATGTGTGTGTGTGTGTGTGTGTGTGTGTGTGTATGTGGTGTCCACATGCTAAGAACATACATGATCTGCATATTTATCACACGTGAGTGCTTCCTAAGTACTAACTTACCATGATTCTAGACATAGTTTGTCCACATTACAGATGTATTTCCCAAGTAGAAAAAAGTCAAGGAATAAATGCTTAATAATTAACTGTGTCTCCTAGAGCACATGTGCGTGTGCACGCACACATGCACACATACACACAGAGTTATTGGAGCACTCCACATTATTTCACTTGAAGTTCAATCGTTTTGTGCGGGTTCTTCTGTGCACTGAAAGGAGGAGCTAGCCAGTGAATCTAAGATTGTAGGCATTCATTCATTCCACAAGTGTTCAGTTTGTGCCTAGTATGTGAAAGGCACTGAGGAGGGTCTGAGATCCAGTGGGGAAGCAGACAGATCATTGCCTGCCCTCAGGGAGTTTATACTCCAGGCACCCATAAATGAACAGAATAATATCGAACAACACTGCATTCCATGAAGCAAGGAGAGGTGAGAGATGTAATGGTGGAGATAGGGCTCTCTGAGGAGGTTAAAGTGTGCGGAAACCAGATCAGTGTCTCTTAGGAGCACATCCCCCGCTCCAGGAGGGTATACAAAGGCTCAGGCGTCAGTGGGGTCTTGGCATGTTTGAGGATGTGTTCCTTAGAAGGTAGTGATTCACAGGAGGAAGTAATGGGGCAGTGAGAATATGGAGAGAATTAGCCTCCTGAACTTCACACTTCATGGGAGAATGGAAACCTAAAATAATTGTTTGGGAAATGGTTAGTTTGTTGCAATCGCCAGAGTCTGCAAACGGGAGCTTGTTCATCAGCTTAACCACAGTGGGCTTCCCAGCAGAGGTGGCATCTCTTCGAGCTCAGACAGCTTCCCAGCGATCTGAATTGCGTGGACTTAGTCAACGCCTCCTAAGGCCTTAGACAGGGAGGCCCGAGGCAGTGCGTGTCTGTGACACGAATACCGGCCTCCACCCTCACCTCTGCCATCGCTCAGCTCTGCTTCCAGGCTGTGCGTCGCTTTGGTTAATTACACAGAGATTCCCATACACACCTGACCTCCTGAGAAAATGATGATGAGATCTGAGTGTGTAACTCAAACGCGACTTAAAAACTACAAAAGCTGCGGGTTCTGAGTAAAGGAGTTACACATCAATTATGATCTATTTTATTCACGAGAGGCCTGTGGGCATAATGTCATCGAGTCTCACCTTTATTGAAGGGACTAAGTGAAGAGCCAAATCTTCATTTGCAAAAAGTTAATTCTATTTCTAATTTAAAATCCATCCACAATGACCTAATCGATGGATCAGAGAAAACAACAGAAGAAATGAGCACCACGAGTTAACCATTTCCCTGACACGGAGTTCTGAGATTTCTCCAATTGAGATGTCTCTACCGTCATTTAGCTAGGTTGTTTCAAAACATGACTGGAAGGTATTTCCTGCTTCACTGAACGGTTTTCACAAGAAATCCATAATCACTCACAAAAGATACTGAAAGATTTCCGAATCTATACATTTTGATTTCATTCCAAAGTCAATGTGGGACCTTTAACATTTACAATCAAACTTAAGAGTCTCATAATGTCTTTACAAATTAATATGCGCTAAGTGTGAGTGGAATTCCCCCCTGGGTAACTTTGGACAGAGTTCTGGACTGCCTTTCCACATTTTGCTCTAGTAAAGAATCTATAGGAAGGTCTCTAAGACAATATTTTGATTTGGAAAATAAAAAAAAAAACCCACCTAGAAGAGTCAGGATTTTTCTAATCAGAGAAAGGATCCTATTTTTTGCTTATGTCTCTGTTACAAATAACCTAAGAACAGGGTTTAAGAAATCAGGCAGTTGGGCTGGGAAGGTGGCTCAGTGGTAGAGCGCTTGCCTTGCATGCCTGAGGCCCTGAGTTCAATTCCTCAGCACCACATAAGCAAAAAGAAAAAAGCCAGAAGTGGCGCTGTGGCTCAAGTGGTAGAGTGCTAGCCTTGAGCTGAAGAGCTGAGGGACAGCACCCAGGCCCAGAGTTCAGACCCCACAACTGGACCCCCCCCCCAAAAAAAAGAAATCAGGCAGTTCATATAAGAAAATTAAGTTATTGATTTTTTTTAATTCATGGGGATCAAAAGGGAAATTTGATCATTATTCCTATTAAAGGTTGCGGATTTACTCCCTTAGGATTTAGGACAGACGACATTGGAAAGAGCTGGAGTTTATCCATCAGCTGAGATGAGTTTGGGCACTCGAAATTACATTCTCTTCTGGGCTAACACGTGGTGATGTTGTGAGACCCTGTGTTACAGGCGACTCCTGGTAGCTGTCACTCGGGGGCTGCTGTGAAATGCTCCTGGACAGACTCTGCTGGCTCTACAAACTGTCACATCAATGTTCATTATGTCTATTTTTAAATCTCCCGTCACAACACTGCAGAGGAACGAAGAGGATCCTGAATCCGAGTGTTACATGACAAGAAAAGGTGGCCCATGTCCCACTATGCGCCTCAGATGGAGCCTTGGAACGTTCACCTTGACAGTGAGCCCTTCCCAAGCGTCTCGCAGTGGGTGAATTCACACCAGAAAATCCCAAATACATCACTCTGAGTATCCCACAATGCAGGTCGCACCAGGCCAGAAGGATTAATCACAATTAAAGCCAATTGATTCTTAATACTGAGCAAGTCAATCCCCTATAGATTATGTCTCCTACTAATTACAACTGAAAAATCCTAGAAGGTGTATGTACAATCTCCTACTTTAAGACTAGCAGAATAAACACTAGCATATACATCGGGGAGAGGCAAAAGACCACCATTTGTTTTATTTTTGTTTATCCTCTTAAAGAAATTGTAGTACACACACACACACACACATACACACGATTATATAACTAGTGGAAGATATACATCATGTTTTATTTTTGTTTTTTCTGGTCCTGGGGCCTGAACTCTGGACCTGGGTGCTGTCCCTCAGCTCTTCAGCTCAAGGCTAGTGCTCTACCACTTGAGCCACAGCACCATTTCCGGCTTTTTCTGCTTCTGTGGTGCTGAGGAATCAAACCTAGGGCCTCATGCATGTGAGGCAAACACTCTACCACTGAGCCACCTTCCCAGCCCCTACTCCATGTCTTTGATTCAAAAGATGACTATAAAGATGGCTGACTGCAATGCACACTTACTCTTTGTGCTAGTTTGGCAGATAAGTGTCTTTCCTGTTCTACTTCTCACTATTTTTAATTTTCAGTAGTATAAATTAATTATGCAAATGGGTATCACTGTGATATTTATACCATGCATGTAGTAAATCTGGTCCCTAGCTATACTCTATAATCTTTCTTGCTTTTACTAATTTCTTTGTATTTATTTATATTATTGCTCAGATAAACTGTGAACTTAGCCAAGGTGCCCAACAATTACTAAATAAAACAGCTATTACAAATATGTCTATCTCCTGTATAATTTTATATAATATATGTGCATGGCTTAATGTAACACGCATCCTATGTAATATAGGGAGGTTCGCAGAACAGGTAGGTCTGATTTTGCATAACGTAAATATGTATATGCTGTGGACTATTATTTGGCCATCAAGGAAAATGAAATTATGCTACACTCGCTTGTGATGTGAGGAACTGACTCAGTCTCAAGTGGCTACTTCATTTTTTTCCCCTTCCACCCTGAGCAGTGATTGTATAAGCAGAGTGGGAGAGTCTGAGCAGCCTGGCAGAGACACGACGGGCCGGCCATGCATTTCAGACCCTGCCGCGGCCGCTCGGCGAGGGCTGACTCATGCTCTCTGAAGCTGCAGCCCGAGGAGATCTGACAGAACTAACAGGAACGGGCATTTTAAAGTGAGTGCGTGTTGCTGTTTTCTTCCTTTTGACAAACTTGTACAAGCTGAGAAGAAGGCCAATTTCCAGAGCGAGGTGGGAGAGAGAAAATGCCAGGCCGTGCTTCCAAGAGAATGCCTGATGGGCTGAGAGGCAGGGTGGACGCACGTGACCGTGGGGGGGGCAGGGCCCGCTCTGCACGGCAAGCTCTGGGTCAACACCCCGGGACCCTCGCTGCCGGACAGCACAGCTCCTATGCATCTAACAAGATTGCCGGCAGCCATCCCCAACCACGATCAAAAATCTGAATAGTATGGGGGGAAATGTGACGAAAGGAACAACGTGTCACACAGGGATGGGAGGGAGGGCCTTTACCACAGAGCCAGGCCCGCGCCTCTTTTGTTTTGAGAGAGGGTCTCGTTGCTACCTTTGCCACACTGTCTCAGACTTGCTATCACCCTGCCTCATTCTCCCAAGATGCCGGGACTGCAGCTGTGAAGCATCATGCCTGCCTTTGATGAACTTTAAAAAGCTCCTCGAGCTCAATGGACCTTTCTCTCGGATAGCAAGGGTTGGGTAATGATAGTGAGCTAAACCATCAGATATTCCTTACTAAACTCACTATTGTTTTTCTCCTGGTACTTCTCCATCACTTTGTATTTTAGTACTCAGGTACTTCTTAAGAGTATTTTGGTCAGCTGATTACAAAACATATGTAGGAGTCGAAGCAGATATCAATAAAAGTGCGACAGTACCTCTGCTACCCATTAAGAGGAGACATCAGAGTTTCGATGACGGTGAAGGTGATCATGATTGTCACTGTAACATATTAAAAAGGAAATCCCAGGAAAATAATTGTTGACTAAACAGCAGGGCCATCAATTCCAGTTTTAATCAGCAGTGAATCTGTATTTCATTTTAGTCTAACAGATACATTTGAGAAAAATATGAAACACAGGTAAATCATTAATAACCTACATAAAACCTGAACCTTTAAGAAAACACATGGCTTTCCCTCATATATCAAGTATTATGCATTACAAACCGCAGGACGGAGTTTCAGG